TGGGAGCCCCTGCCCCTGCCAGCCCCACGTGGCGGCTCCTTTCCCCCAGTGCAGCCGGTCACAGCCCCAGCTGGGATGCGGAGCCATCCCAAAGCTCTCCCGACTCGCTGGCACACTGACGAGCTCACGTTTCCCTACCTCAGGTCTGGCTCATTGAGCTTATTTCTATTAAATGACTTTGAGAACATAACTGTGACTTCATCGGAACATAAATCTGTCTTCAGGGGGGAAAAAAAAATCAGCTCATTAAGAAGACAGACAGCGTCTACAGTCTGAAAGGAACAGCAAATGGTAGCTGCCAAAAACGTCAATGTTAAATGCAGCTGCCAGCTGGGATTTATTAAAAGGTAGTTATACAGCAGCGGTGGCAAACAGCACATCTTGTACTGGGGTAATCTCTCCTTCCTCTCCCACCTTCGTGCAGCTTGCTGGCTCTGATGCATCCAGCCCCGCCGTGACCTCCAGGACTGGCAGCCTGGACGTGTTGGGTTTTGCTCACTGCCTGAATATTTTGTTTATTTCGTTCTTTATCTAGGAAAGCCAGAGCCAAGGAAAGCAGCTAAAGCACTGCTCAGAGAGGGTGAGGTACCACCTTTCTCCGCATGACCCCGCTCTCTGCCCGTGGGGAGAGGCACCCGGCGCTATCCTGGACAGTGACTAAGCCACAGCAGGCTCGGCTACGAGAACAAGCAGGGACCAGGCTCATGCCAGCAAACCGGGGTTTTCCCTTTTCCTACAGAGGATCTGGGCTCTCTTCCACATGTGAATACCCTACGCTAAAATAGAAGGACAAGACATATGGGGAAGGGAGAAAATGGGTAAATACCACCTGTATTGGCTCAAGAAGCAAGGCGTGTTCAGCAAGGACCACAGCACCCATGTCCTATGCCCGGCACAGAGGTTGAGCATCTCCAAAACCAAGCACAAGTTGGTCTCTGTGGCTCCTCTCTGCAGAGATCTTTGCTCGTGTCTCTCACGACCTACCTGGTCCTTTTTCATCAGTGCAGGACAAGGACTGAGTCCCTTCTTGGCTCCACATGCCATGACCCAGCGCCACCTCCCACCCCACGGGATTTCCCACCAATACCCACCTCTTTAAGACTGATGTTTGCCGTGTAGACCACGTTCGTCCCGTCCCTCTTGAAGTGTGAGTGAGGCTTGTCCTTGAGGATGAAGATGATGTCAGCAGGGATGTTGTCTGGGGTGGCATCCCCTTCTTTGGGGAATGTGATTTTGGTTCCCTCCTTCCAACCCCGTTTGATGACAATGTTTAGGATCTTGTCCTCAGTCCGCATGGTCCGGCCATCAGCATTGAGCCTTCTGCGAGTGATCTTCATCCTCTTGGTGGAGCCGTGGTAGATCTCTTCCAGGGACACATTGAGCTCATGGATGACGGGTGGGTCTTGGACCTTTCTCCGCATGTGCAGGGACTCCTGGTGCCGCCGGTGAACCCCATTAATGCCATTGAAGCCAAACCGGCTGAAGGCACTGAAAGGATCATCATCATCATCGATATCCATATCTTCCTGGTCAAAGCCATTGAACACCCGGGAGCGGCTGCTAGCGAAGAAGATATCAAAAGGGTTGGAGCCTCCAAAGAAGGACGCAAAGGTGGCATGGGGGTCTCCATGGAAGGTGTAGTGGAAAGTGTTCCCTGAGCCACCTGAAGAGCCACCTCCAGTTTTGAGACCTGGAAGAGAAGGGGGAAGATGAGACATTAACGCTCCCTGCAGGTGGACGCCATGCTGGGACCTTACTTTCCACGCGGGAGCATGGTCTTCCAGCAGCTCCTGGGGGTGCAGGTCGCCCCCTCCAGCCCAGTCACCTGCGGAGACTGTGGGCCAGGAAGGCACCACCCCAACCCATGACACACAGTCCTGCTCCTACACCCAGCAAGTTCAAAAGCCATTCGGGATTTGTCCCCACTACCCTGACTGAGCACTTGCTTGGTTCTCTCCACCTAATTCACGGCCTTTTCATTTAAAACATTTCCTGACCAGCCCATCTCCATTTTTCCCCATGGGCAGGCTCCCTTCTGCCCAAATAGCTCTGTCTTTTGGGCTGCACCGATGGCCGTGGTCCAGGAGCATCACATCCAGCACATGAGAAAAGGCTTTGAGCTCAGTGAGCAACCATGACTCTTGGTGGCAGAACAGGTGGAGGTCAGCAGACCTCCAGGTCAGCACACAGCAGGAGGGATACAGCTCTCTGTTTACAGACTGTATAAAATGTCAGGTAAGTTCAAGGTTTGGATCTTTTGGCAACCATTCCCGTGGGAAACTCCCCTGCCAGACCTCTGGTAGGGCCTTATGTCACTGCACACACACACACACACACTCCCCCAAGTCGCAAGCAGCCAAGGCATGCAACAAGTGGCCTCCAAAGAGGTCACACATGCTCTGCAAGGCTATTTTTGACCAGGAGGGCCCAGGAAGGGTTAAGCCAAGCCTAGCTCAAGGACCATTTTCAGGGCACGCCAGTGACAGTGAAGGGCTATTTCTGACAGGCTGTCCCTCATGCCAGCCCCCTGCAGTGGGAGACAGGAGGGGGACAAGCACAGAGCAGGCAAGTTTGGGGATCTTTTCTGATTGATTAAGTTTCTGTCCTGGGGTGGGGGACCTTTCACTTCACCTCGCCCATCCCAGCATGTGGGACCCAGAAGCCCCTCGAAATGCTGATCCCCAGGCCATATTGCTCCAAAAAAAAGGCATCTGATGGGAAATGAAAGGTGTGTGGGGCCATGGACCATGACTGGTCTGGAAATCACTGCCTGGGAGGTAGACGGCAGTCCCTGTCCTGTGACGTGTCCAGCCAGCTCAGCGGCATCTCCGTCCCCCTCTCTCCAGCCACAAAACCTTTTCACATCTTTCATCTCATTTCTGCGTGTGACCAGTGTCAGTTCCCCAAAACGCCGATGGAGTTTGGTTTTGCCAGTACTCCCCATCCCGCTGCGAGGAGGGGGATGCTCTCCTCCCTCCTTAACTCGCTCTTATTTTAGCTGCCTTTGGCGATTTCACCAAATCCTTGGTGAGCCCCCATCCCTAACAGACTGTACAGCCAGGAGGTTTCACCTTTAATCCCATGATGCCAGCCCAAGCAGGATCTGATTTCGGTAGCACCTCCAGGGAAAGGCTAGTTTCCCACCTGAGACAACCTCTTCTCGTTTTACACCACAGAAAATCACATGGCTCAGGTGCATCCATCATAGCCCTGACATAACTAATGGGTCAGGTGGAGCGGCTCTCCTCCTCCTCCTCCGTGCCAACCACCAGACAACAGCAACCGCTTGGTTTCAAAACAAGGACCTATTACTTAAATTGGGAAAAGCTTTGAATCCCGTAGGTCAGCCTGTACCAGGGAGGACAGCGGGACCAGTGCCCAAATGCGCGGGGGAATGAGGGCAAAAGCAATACTCCTCCGCTGGGATACTTAGGTCAATTAAAGAGTTGCTAACGAGTTACCCCAGGTATGACCCAGGAGGTGAGCTCCTTCCACTTCCATCGCCTCAGCCAGCTGCCAGGGTTTTGGGGCGGAGGGCAGGGAGAGCCTGGCCATCCCGGGAAGCAGGGTGGCGGGTTGGAAAAGCGGAGCAGCCCGGGGAGAAGCGGGATGAGGGGCCATTTCTGGCACCTGTGGAGCCTTCGCCCTCCCCAGGTCCGCAGCTAAGAGCCCGTTTTCGGGGGCAGGCATGAACCACAGGGGCAACTCTGTGCGAAAAACACTCCCTCGCCTATAAAAACCCATTTGTATCCAGCACCCCTGCCTCCAAGCGGGCAGCACTCGTCCCCTTACCTTCCTCCCCGTACTGGTCGTAAACAGCTCGTTTCTTGGGGTCGCTCAGCACATCGTAAGCCTCCGCGATCTCCTTGAACTTC